CTGATGCCAAGGGATGAGGGACTCTGAGACGGCTTAATAGATGGTGCACCTGTGTGATGGTAGCAGGAGAGCAGGCAAACAGCCCAGGACTGGACAGTCTGGCATACTCCGTGCAGAAAAGGGTTTAGTCCTACCATTCGTGGCGCTACCCTATTGGTGCATGATTTCCAGCCGTGGCCCACGTATGTCTGTAAACACCATTCCTCTTCACATCACAGTAGCCATTGAACTCCCAGTTTTTCTCCCTCAGCTGCAGTAATTCGTCGTAGCGTCTATTTCGCCCAATGCGAAATCCCGTCAATTTGTAGCCGGTTTGACTGGAACCACATGTCCCCGCCGCGGTGTTCTGTGGTTTGTCACATAAATAAATTCGTTCATGTTTTGGATAATCCGAGAGTCGGAGTGAGTTCGAGAATAGTACAGAGTGCGTGCATATACTTGAAACGTATAACTGCAACTTTGGAAAGTCAAGTTGCACAGTGATAGCTTCCACCGTTAGAAAAGGTTCAATACCAGACGATGGGAAAGGTGTTTTGCTCTTTTTTGTAAATTATTAGGTAAACGCATCGGGTGCAGCTCATACAAAACTGATTTCAGAGCCTCAGGTGAACTGTGCTGACTGTCTTGATAAATTAATTAAATTTGAAAAAGTGGTTGTGCGATTCTTTAGCCTCCGTGGCACGAGTGTGAGCACGTATTGCAAATCGTTTTCCGCGTGGGTTGTGGTATGAAACCGACAGTGCCACAGAGTGTGCAGACGGACGAAACATGTGTTTCATTCTTGGATCTGTGCTTTCGGTCCGAACCAAGCAAACGGGCCAGTGCTCAGCAACTTTGTCAACATCCATTCGCCAATATCAACGTTAGCAACTTGTTCCTATTTACCACTCGATAAGGGGCTTCCGTGATATTCAGCGACCGCTCGCTTTCGGTGACTATTTCTTCAGACTTCCTATGTCAGTAATTGAGTTTCTTTTCCAGGTTGATGAAAGCTGTGATTCGAGAAAGAACTATTTCTACTGAGTTCAGCGCATTCGAAGTAAAGACAATAGTGTGTGGATGAAAAGTATTTCAGGACCAAACATTGGTAATCGTCTTATTTTTTTTTTGAAGTAATATTCAGCCGGGAATAGTATTGTGGGTGGGCAACTTCTTCCTGTCAGGGTGTGTGATTTATTTGTTTACTGCATTTATTTTGCACAGTTTTTCGGACTAAATCTCTAAGTAATGCTGAAATGGAATGCCTCCTCTTACGTTTTTCCCCTCAACCGTGTACTGAACTGATTTTTCCCAATCGTAAATACTGTGCATTATAATCGGGTAGTAAGCAATAGCAGACAACAGCAACTTTTTCCTTGCTTGGTGGAGCTTCGAGCTAAAGCTTTGGAAGCCTGTGCGTTTGAAGTCGTAAACATAAAACCAGTTATGCGAGGCCAGAAACAGTTTTCAGATCATTTTGTGTGCTGCCTCTGGAAGATGAATTGATGCGTGTCGGATTGTTCATGGAACGTGAAGTTTGTGGTTTTCAAAGCTGTTGATATTATCGATTTGTTGTGCGGATTTGACTAATGATGTATAATTCTGCTAAATGTTTGTGATCGCTCCTGTAATGTATCCTCTTGCGATGCTTAATATGCACTGAAACAAAAACCAGGCTGGAACATACTGGGCGGGCCCGTGCGATCATGCGTTTTTGCACCGGACTTGAAGTACTCAAGTCATTAACTGCATGAATGGTTGTTGCTTTACACCTACCTTTTGCGGTCACTAGCATAAATCACCATAAGTTTTGCATAAAGTAAATGTGCAATTTTCATTTAACAATCGTTCTTTAAAACTAATCTGGTTGTTCAGTCAGAAATCCAGCCAAAATTTTAAGTACCCGTACGTAAGAACCACGCATACCTTAAGACTGAATTTGGATTACTTAAGTTGTACTTAGACAGGGAACATTTCCCCAAAACTTCAGCCGTCCAGTATTTCTTGTTACCGAGTTAACAGTTTTCTCGCCAAAACTTTCACATGCCCGTACGTAGGTACTCCACGTGTCTGGAAAGCTGAATTTGAAATTTTTAAATTGCATATGAACAGGGGATATCCCCGTAAAATTTAGGCTTCCTAGCTTTCTTTGTTCCCGAGTTAGCGATTTTCCCGCTGAAATTTTCATACGCCCTTACTCGAGTACCACGCATACCTGGGGGCTTAATTCGAAATCTTCAGCTAGCATACGCAGAGGGAATACCTCTACAAAGTTTCAGTCCCTTAGCTCGTGTAGTTCCCGAGGTCGTTTCCCCGCCAAAAAATTTGCATATTTTTTTAAAGCGTCTCTGCATGGCACCCAGACATCCGCGGGGGATGAAATTAAAAAGTGAGGGTCGCGCATGGTATGGGTACATATTCCCAAAGTTTCAGCCTTCTAGCTTTTCTAGTTCTCGAGTTGAAAGTGGGTGACAAAAAGTGCGAACACACAGACAGCCTTTTCCCAGTATGCGTTTTTGCAAATTGCATATATGCAAAAACTCATAAAAACGTTAAAAATGGAGTAGATGGGGATAAATCAGCTGTCAGTTCGAATGCATTTCAAAAACGTCAGATGCATGAATTCTGAAAAACTATTTCAAGTGAAGACGACCACAGTAGGGCGGGAGACTTCGTGTTGAGCTGCCCATATGTGTTCCAATTTTGTCCTTTGCTACTGCTGGTGTTCCTAGAGGAGTAGTCTTTCCTCAGTTTAGTCCTTAAAAAGCAGCTGTAATGATGTGGTGCTTTATTTCAGGTAAAAAAGCACCGTTTTGGGCAAGAGCCGTCTAGTTTAGGATGAAGTCATCTGCAGTTTAAGTTCTGTAAGTCACTAGCTACTTGTTGCATGTATTTTAAATGGTTATGAATTCTGGAAATAGATTTTTCAGTAAATAAAATGTCGAGAAATCAAGCCTTTAAGCTGTACAAGGTTTTCTTGCCAGGAAACACGTTTACCTCACGCCGGGAAATTAACAGACACGGGAGGGGGTATTCGTTTGTGCTATAATGGTAGCTGAAGTTGCGCGGTTCACGCAGAGGTATGCTATTTTACGGTGCACAGGATCGATTGTCTATTCTTCGCAACAGAGATTACTGTCGTTGTGCAGTAATGGACAGTTGGGGGCGGAGGGGGGGGGGTATCCGTTTGGTTCGGATTGTTGTTATATGCTGTTGCAGAGGG